TGAGACGGAGTTTCACTCAGGCTGGAGTGCAATGGTGCCATCTCTGCTCACCACAACCTCCGCCTCCCAGGTTCAAGGGATTCTCCTGCCTCAGCCTCCCGAGTAGCTGAGATTACAGGCATGTGCCACCACGCCCAGCTAATTTTATATTTTTATTAGAGATGGAGTTTCTCCATGTTGGTAAGCCTGGTCTCGAACTCCTGACCTCAGGTGATCTGCCTGCCTCAGCCTCCCAAAGTGCTGGGATTATAGGCGTAAGGCACCGCGCCCAGCCCCATTTTTTAAATGGCCTCTAATGAAATCCTGATTTTATCGACTCTAATTTTTGTCTTTTTTGCATCTCTGAACCTTCTTGCTTTTTTAAAGGATTTTGTTTTTACTGTGGTATATTATACATAACATTTTACCATTTTTTTTTTTTTAACGGATCTCGCTCTGTCCCAGTTGGTCATCCGGATCAGCTCACTCCCCCCCCCCCCCCCCCCCCCCATCTCACCCCCCCCCTCGCCCCATTTTGTTTTTTAGAACGGTTCACGTGTCCAGGTCCATCCCCCCATCCCCCCCCCCCATCTATACACTACACCCCCCCCATTTTACCATTTTTAAGTGTATGGTTCAGTGGCATGAAGTATATTCACACTATTGTGCTGCCATCACCACCATCCATCTCCAGACCTTTATTATCCCTAATTAAAACACCAACACCCATGAAGCACTAATTCCCCACTCCTCCCTTTCTCCAGTCCATGGTAACCACTAGTCTACTTTCTGTCTATGAATTTGACTACTCTAGGTACCTTATATAAGTGGAGTCATATAATATTTATCCTTTTGTGTCTGGCTTATTTCACCATTAGCATAATGTCTTCAGGGTTCTTCCATATTGTAGCACATATCAGAATTTTATTCAAGGCTGAATAAGCCAAGCACAGTGGCTCACACCTGTAATCCCAGCACTTTGGGAGGCCGAGGTGGGTGGAGCACCTGAGGTCAGGAGTTCAAGACCAGCCTGGCCAACATGGTGAAACCCCATCTGTACTAAAAATACAAAAATTAGCCGGGCGTGGTGGTGTGCACCTGTAGTCCCAGTTACTTGGGAGGCTGAGGTGGAAGAATTTTTTGAACCTGAGAGGTGGAGGCTGCAGTGAGTGGAGACTGCACCACTGCATGGCAGCCTGGTGACAGAGTGAGACTCTGTCTAAAAAAAAAAGAAAAAGAAAAAAGGCTTAATAATACTGCATTGTACACGTATACCACATTCTGTTTATCATAATCCATTGATCAACCTTTGGGTTGCTTCCATCTTTTGGCAACTATAAATACTGTTGCTATTATACAAGTATCTATTTGAGTGTTTTGGGTATATACCTAGAAGTGGCATTGCTGGATCAAATGGTAATTCTATGTTTAATTTTTTGAGGGACCATCATACTGGTTTTTTACAGCAGCTGTACCATTTTATATTCCTACCAGCATTGCATGAGGGTTTCAGTTTCTCCATGTCCTTGCCAATGCTTATTTCCTAGTTTTTGTTGTTTTTATAATAACTATCCTAATGAGTGTGAAGTAGTATGTCACTGTGGTTCTTACTTGTTTGTATGCAATACTAGTAGTTGGTGTAATAGACATAGCAAATTTGGATATTACATTAATCAATGTCTGGCTCTAATTAGATATATATGCATGTATGTATGCATTGATTCTTTTCCTCCAAAATTACAACATGGTTTATAAGAACATGTGAACAATAAGATAAATAATACAAACAGCTCAATTCATGTCACTGGGAAAACTGAAAAAATAGAAGAAAACTAAAAAATGAAACTGTAACCCAAATTAGATGAACAAGAAAGTCTGTTGTAATGTCCCCTACAGTTACTAAAATTGGAGTGAAAAGAAATCAATCGTGAACTTCCTGGTGGCCAAAGTAAAAATAAAAACAGGGTCACTAACATGGTTTGTTTACTACAGAAGATGAAAGCACAGGAAAAAAAAGGCTTTTCTTGGCTCATTGATGTAAGAAATAAGCTATCGCTATTTTAAAATATGTAGAGATAATTGTGTTACTGACACCAGCAGATTTCAGACTGAAAGCAAACAGGATTTTTTTTTGTATTATTGGGGTTGGGATTGGCAATGACTCCATAGCCTGACTACTGGAAGACTGTTTTTGTGGGTAGAATAGTAGTTTCAAAGTGCAGTTGGGGTGACAGGAAGGCAACTCCACCTATCTCAGCAGAGAGATAAGTTCTATTCCCTTGGACTTTAGTCAGTTAATGTTGTATACAGTACAACAGGTAAGAGCTTGAATTGTGTCCTATGTATTTATATACATAGCTGGCATTTCCTGCCCAGGTCACAGATTGTAACTACATGGGTGTTTATACAAATAGTCTTCTTAAAAATATATCCTTATCTTCCATTTGGAAGAAGGGAAAGGTCTTCATGTTCGAATTTAATGTTGAAATTTCTTGGTTGGGTGCAGTGGCTCATGCCTGTAATCCTAGCACTTTGGGAGGCCGAGGCAGGAGGATTGCTTGAACCCAGGAGTTTGAGACTAGCTGGGGTAACATAGTGAGACTCCATCTCTATTTTAATTGGGATCTTTTTTCTTTTTTTCTTTTCTTTTTTTTTTTTTTTGGTTCCTTTTTTTGTGGAAAACAAGGTCTTTCTATATTTCCCAGGCAGGCTTCGAACTCCTGGGCTCAAGTAATCCTCCCACCTCTGCCTCCCTAAGAGCTGGAATTACAGGCACAAGCCACTGCGCCTGGCCCTCCATCTCTATTTTTTAAAAAAGAAAAAAAAACTTGAAACTACAGAAACTAATGTATCGTTTTCCAAGTATACTACAAAAAAATTTCATGATAACTGGAGATGTCAAACCAGCTTCCAAGCACTTGAAGAGGAAAAAAATAATAAGAATAGAAGCCACATGTAACAGACATTTTTAAAGAACTGAAAATGTTTATCTTAAGAATTACTCTAAAATTGAAAGAATTGGTCTAAGATTTTACTGAAAAGTTTGGATGAAAAATAATAACTGACATTTCTTGAGCATTTATAATGTTCTAGGCACCATTCAAAATGCTGTGTATGTATTAACTCACTCCTCTAAACTTAATGAGGTCAGCACTATTATTATCATTCCTATTTTATAGGTAGGGAAACTGAGGTGAGGCATGGAGCAGCTAACACTAGCAAGTATTAGAGCTGAGATTCATACACAAACATATGCAGTCTGGCTCCAGAAGCCACATACTTACCTGCTAAACCATACTGCCACTTGATACTAGAGCAAATTAACCACAGAAGGACTATTTTGGCCATCTGGCAAATAAATAGCTTAGATTTATTTTGTTTCATTATAGTTTTGTTTTTTCCTTCAATGATCAAATTCATTTTTATTATCCTTGAAATTTCCCTTAATATTCTTGTATACATCTCCTAGTCCTAAATTTTAAAAAAATGAATGATACTCCGGGTTCTAATTAATTGATGAAACCTTATACAGCCATTAAAGATGATGTTTTTACAAAGATTTTTAAGAATATGGAGGAATGCTTATAACATAAAGTAGCACCATGTAAATTAGGAAGAAGCCAGGCTTCCCCCTCCCACCTCCTCAAGAAAACATCTGGAAAACAGATGGGAAAGTTTCATTGTGCTATTATTGGGTTGGAAAATTAGGACTAATTTCTTATGTACTTTTCTTAACCTTCTATAAAATTCAACTGAATGCTTTTATAGTCCAAAAAATGAAATAGATTTCATTTTTTAAAGGCAAATTGAAGCCTTTCATTACAAAAGTATAGTCTGCAGCTCTTCATGATAATCTTATTGCATAATTTAGAATCATTTCCACAGAGCCCTCGGCCATATAAGCGAAGGTGGCACAGTTCAGACCTGCACTGTGATAGGTGGGTGTTTAATTAAATTTAAAATCCAGCTCCTCAGTCACACTAGCTCCATTCCAAGTGCTCAGTAGCCACATGTGGCAAGTGACAGCTTTTCTAGCATCATAGAAAATTCTATTGCCCAGTATGGGTTTGGAAGAAAAAACAGGGAATCTGGAGCCAGAAAACTTGGAATCAAGTCTACCCTACTAGCTGACACTTACTGTGTGAAATGGGGCAATTTACTCAACCTCTCTCAGCCTATTTCCCCATGACCAAATTGGGACTGAAGATAATATCACATACCATATACAGAGGTTAAGAAGATTAAGAGAATGCAGGTGACAGTTCTCCAAAAACAATAGTATGGTTTACCAGGTAGATGCTGCTTCCCAGGCCTCCAGCTTGAAGTCAGTCTAGCTTTTCGAGGACTGATTCCAAATCTTTGAATGCTTCACACCAAGAATTTTACCTGAATGCCACCATCAAAATCAGATTAGCTCTTATTACAGTTCCTAAACCAAGTCTGTGGCAATGTGGGCATTTCATTTCTTCCTTGTAAAAAGCTTTAATACACAGCTCTCTCTATACAGTGACACCTCCTAAAAGTTTTCTTTAATAATTTAAAATCTTCACTGTATTTCCATTCCTACAAAGAAAAAGACTCCCTTAAAAAAGAAAAGAAAAAAGGTTTGTTCACCAAAGAAATATGTGAAGTTTGTCATATTCCATATAACAAGGAAATCCGGCGGAGTTAACGGTGCAGGAATGAAGCAAAAGAACATGAGGTTTTTACCAACAATGATAGCAGTTTCGCAAAACTTCAAAGCTGTCGGGGTACTGATGAAATGGAAGTACTTGCTCATTCTGATTTTTTTTTTTTTTTTTTTTTTTTCCTAACTCACTTCTGGTTCTTACTGCAAGATAACTTGACTATTTTAGACAAGTGTAGGGCTGCTGCATTTCCAGAACACCTCCATCCTATTTCTCATTTAAATCACCTCACCTTCCCCGTGGCCTATTAATGCATACTTGCAAGGCTGCGAAACAACCCAAAGGAGGCAAGATCCAGCGGTTCCCCACTCACGCTCCTTTCTGCTTCCCCAGGTTTCCGCCAGCTGTGGATGCCTTTGACATTATGACCGCAGAGGATTCCACCGCAGCCATGAGCAGTGACTCGGCCGCCGGGTCCTCGGCCAAGGTGCCCGAGGGCGTGGCGGGCGCGCCCAACGAGGCGGCACTGCTGGCGCTGATGGAGCGCACGGGCTACAGCATGGTGCAGGAGAACGGGCAGCGCAAGTACGGCGGCCCACCGCCCGGCTGGGAGGGCCCGCACCCGCAGCGCGGCTGCGAGGTCTTCGTGGGCAAGATCCCGCGCGACGTGTACGAGGACGAACTGGTGCCCGTGTTCGAGGCTGTGGGCCGCATCTACGAGCTGCGCCTCATGATGGACTTCGACGGCAAGAACCGCGGCTACGCCTTCGTCATGTACTGCCACAAGCACGAGGCCAAGCGCGCAGTGCGCGAGCTCAACAACTACGAGATCCGCCCGGGTCGCCTGCTAGGCGTGTGCTGCAGCGTAGACAACTGCCGCCTCTTCATCGGCGGGATCCCCAAGATGAAGAAGCGCGAGGAGATCCTGGAGGAGATCGCCAAGGTCACCGAGGGCGTGCTGGACGTGATCGTCTACGCCAGCGCGGCCGACAAGATGAAGAACCGTGGCTTCGCCTTCGTGGAGTACGAGAGCCACCGCGCGGCTGCCATGGCTCGCCGCAAGCTCATGCCCGGCCGCATCCAGCTGTGGGGCCACCAGATCGCCGTGGACTGGGCCGAGCCCGAGATCGATGTGGACGAGGACGTGATGGAGACGGTGAAGATCCTCTACGTGCGCAACCTCATGATCGAGACCACAGAGGACACCATCAAGAAGAGCTTCGGCCAGTTCAACCCTGGCTGCGTGGAGCGCGTCAAGAAGATCCGCGACTACGCCTTCGTGCACTTCACCAGCCGCGAGGATGCCGTGCACGCCATGAACAACCTCAACGGCACTGAGCTGGAGGGCTCGTGCCTGGAGGTCACGCTGGCCAAGCCCGTGGACAAGGAGCAGTACTCGCGCTACCAGAAGGCAGCCAGGGGTGGCGGTGCGGCCGAGGCGGCGCAGCAGCCCAGCTACGTGTACTCCTGCGACCCCTACACGCTGGCCTACTACGGCTACCCCTACAACGCGCTCATCGGGCCCAACAGGGACTACTTCGTGAAAGGTTAGTGGGGGCTCTTCTCCTGGGTGGGGCCCTCAAGAACTTTGCTTCCTAGGCAGGGGGCACCAGGGATATCGTGGCTGGCATTTGCTGAGCTGGTAGGTGCTGAAGGCCCTCCCACCCTCCTTTTGGGTTTGCATTCTGGGTCTAGTTCTTTGCTGGCACCGAAGGCCATCACTTCTGCAGCATTGATAGAAATACAGGTCGTTCTGGGGTGAGCGGTAAAATCACATGGGTGTGCAAACACTGGCATTCTGCCTTGCCGGGGTCCACCGGGTTAGGGGCCCGTCCACCAATCTCTTGGTGCTTAGGTTAAAACCTGCTTGTGATATTAAATCTTAAGATGTTGGTGGAGTCAATGATTTTTAATTTTGTTTTTTGTCATCATTGGTTAGGATATAATGAAACACAGCATTACCTGGAAAATAAGATACATAGGTTCTGGGTCCTGTTCTCTGATTAACTAGCCTGTGACTTTAGTCACTTTAGTCTCCCCTTGGCCTGTTTTCTCAAGCATGAAATGAGGAAGGTGGACTAGCAAATCCCCTTCCAAATCTAACTTTAAAAAAAAATTATTTAATTGTGTGTGTGTATATATATATATATATATATATTTGGAGACAGGGTCTCACCATGTTGCCCAGGCTGGTCTTGAACCCCTGGGCTCAAGCCATCCTCTAGCCTTAGCCTCCCAAAGTGCTGGGATTACAGGCACAAGACACCGCACCTGGCCCCAATTTTTTGTGGGGGGGAGTGGGTATTCTATGAATGTTTTTCTTTACTGAAATTGCAGATACAATCCTAGAAACTCACCCTGCAAGTTTGCCTCTTGTACTAAGCAGACATGCTTAGGATGCAAATCTAGGCTGAAATAGAATGTTGGAAGCATCTTTACCAGCCTATTAAAGAGCAAAGGTGTAGCTACCTGCAACTTAGACTGGAGCAGTTAAATGCTGAGAACTGAGGGCTGAGGTCTGCCTCCAGCACCATCACTGTTGGTTGCTCATCATCTTTTGTGTTGTTATTACAAGCAGGCAGCATAAGAGGCCGAGGGCGAGGTGCAGCTGGCAACAGAGCCCCGGGGCCCCGGGGTTCCTACCTCGGGGGATATTCTGCTGGCCGTGGTATATATAGCCGATATCATGAAGGGAAAGGAAAGCAGCAAGAAAAAGGATATGAACTTGTGCCGAATTTGGAAATCCCTACCGTCAACCCAGTTGCCATTAAACCTGGTACAGGTCAGTATAAACCAGATTGAGAATGCACCCATTCAGCATAAACCCCAGCCCTTCTGTTAGAAGTGAATCCAAGCCTTTCTGGGGATCTCACATCTGCACAGGGGTTCCTCTTCTCCCAGGCAGCTAGGGACAAGGCAAAAAGAAAGTGGCCCCCTGGACCTCCTTATCTAGAACTTCAAGGGATGGTGTAGCTTTGACCATGGTCAAATCAAACTTGCCTGAAGTAAGGTTTTCTTTTTTCCTTTTTTTTTTTTTTTTGAGACAGAGTCTCACTCTGTCACCCAGGCTGGAGTGCAGTGGCATGATCTCGGCTCATTGCAAGCTCTGCCTCCCGGGTGCATACTACTCTCCTGCCTCAGCCTCCAGAGTAGCTGGGACTACAGGCGCCCACTACCACGCTCAACTAATTTGTGTGTATATATATATATATATATATATATATATATATATATATATATATATATATTTTTTTTTTTTTTTTTAAGTAGAGACGGGGTTTCACTGTGTTAGCCAGGATGGTCTCGATCTCCTGACCTCATGATCCGCCCATCTCGGCCTCCCAAAGTGCTGGGATTACAGGCGTGAGCCACTGCGCCCAGCCATGCAGTAAGATTTTCAAAGGGTTGTCACCCATTGTTAGTCTTTTTCTCAGTCTGTGGCTAAGTAGGGAGAGTTGTGGGGGGAAGAAAGGAAGAACATGAGGCTCTCTGTATCTTCTGTCAGGTAAAACGTATCTTTTCCTTACTCAGGCCTATTTCTGCCCCAACCATCTGATGTCAGAGGGTAGAGCTTATTGGCCCATTCTGAGAGTTGTTGGGAAGGGCAGAAAATTCCCCTTCAGAATTCAGCAGCACCTTTTGTCCCTTGTCATGGTCTGAGCAAATAAGAATGCTTGGGGACAAGGCAGTGGTCAAAGTTTTGTTGTTGTTGTTGTTTGAGATGGAGTCTTGCTCTGTCACCCAGGCTAGAGTGCAGTGATCATGGCTCACTGCAACCTCCACCTCCCAGGTTAAGCGATTCTCCTGCCTCAGCCTCCCCAGTAGCTGGAACTACAGGCGCGCACCACCATGCCGGCTACTTTTTGTATATTTAGTAGAGGTGGGGGTTTCACCATGTTGCACAGGCTGCTCTCGAACTCCTGATCTCAAGTGAGCCGCCCCCCTCAGCCTCCCAAAGTGCTGGGATTATAGGCATGAGCCACCGCACCTGGCCTTTGGTGAAAGTTTTTGCAGCTAATTCCCTGGTTTCTAATTTCCAGCACTCATTTCCTCCTCTAGCTGGATCAGTAGATTGGGAGTAGGGATGCTCAATAATTTCAAGCCAGGGACCTTGAACTTTGCTTTCACCTCCAGGCCCCACAAACCTGTTTATCAATGTTGTTAGTGCCCATGGCCATCTAACGTGAGGCCGGTCTTCTGATCCAAACCTGCAAAGAACATTAACTCCATTGTGTGAGTCTAGCACGAACTCACGCAGCACCCCGCAGAAGCATCCAAACACGTGGAAAACTCAGTCCGTGGGTGATTGGCGTGACCCTCCTCCAGACGCCCTCCCTGGCTTCAGCAGGAGGAGGTTGAAGAACTGTTCAGAGCCCAGCTACTCTGATTTTCTTCTGGTTGAGATTGTACACTTCTTTCCCTAGCTAAAATAGAGTCAAGGAATCTGTGCATTTGGGACATAGGTACGCATTGGCCACATAGGGTTAAAAAGTATTTTGCTAGTTGAACTTTCTTTTGATGAATCTAGTAATGATTTTTTTTTTTTTTTTTTTTTGGCCTGCGTAAAAATTCTGCAATTAAGTGACTCCTTAGACTAGATTGCCTTTTAAATGTCATTGGCACTGTGGGCAAAGTAAAACTGATCCTACAGCTCTGTAACTTCATAAAATAGAGCCTGGATATGGGAGTTGTCGCTTCTACTTGTTGGGAAGGGGACTCCTGTTGGCAAGTTAAGGCAGCTTAAGGTTTAACAAGAGAAAAGAACTGTTAAATAATCTTTAGTCATGTAAAGTTGTGTCCTGGAGGCTGAGGTAGAAATTCCTGTGGGCTGATAGCCAGAACAATTCATTTACTTCATACAACCCCTTGTAGCTTAAACTCACAACCCTCTCTGGGCCCCATCCATTGGCCTTGGTGTCTATTTCTGATCATCCAGAAAATGAGGACATTGTATTTTAGGAGAGGCACCAGGGTGGTGGTGAAGTATCTGGGCGCAAGACCAGTGGAAGATATGGTTGGAAAGGCAGGTAAAATATTTGATTCAGGTTTTAGGTGTATTTTATCAAATGGCCATACCATTGTTTAGCTTATAATCATTTGTCTCTTTACCTTTGATTGAGTCTATCCTTATTAGAATAAATGTACCTACAGTTGGAGAAAACCAGAAATAGAAAGATTCTTTGTGTACACATTTCATATTTTTGCTTATCCTTTCAACACACACAAACACACAAATACACCCCCCACCGCCCCTCGACACACACACATCAGGGCTAGTATCTTTTCCTTTTGATCTCTTCTTACTGTACCTTGACATTCAATAACTGCTATCTGTTTGAATCTCTCGTTGAAATCATAATTTTGGACTTTCAGAAATTCTTTGAATTGGGAGGTCCCACTAAAAGCCAGTCACTCCATAGGTTCCCTTCTTTGAGTGGACATGAAGAAATTGGGGAATGTGCTATTTTTTTTTTACCGTGTGTTTTTCCTTGAATCGGTAATGCTAAAATCTGAAATAAAGGGTGGGGAGGATGTACGGAGGTCTGAGTTCTCAGAATGAAACCCTCAACAGCACCTGTTTCTTAAATAGTGGTGAAAGTGAAAAAAAGGCAGCGGGACTGGTAATGAGTGAGGTGAGTAGGAAGGAACAGGCGGGCCCAACTCTCACAGGCGGTAGGCCTCAAGCCTCTGATCTCACTTCTTTGTCTAAGCCTGTTTTCCCATAGTCAGAGGCCCTTTCTTGCTCAGTAGGACATCAAGAATAAGATTCAAACTGATTTTTCTGTAGAAATAGAAAATATTGGTGCAGAAGCCTAACTCTAGGGGTCTCTTCCACGACAGGCAGGGGTAGTTACCTGCCACCGCCTATCCCTTCCTCTTGGGGAGCAGGCATCTGGGTACATGGCTTGTACTGAGAGAACAATAGTGAGCTTAGAGAGGCCCCTGACCTCTAAACGTGGTTTTAAAAAAATATCTTCGGCTGGGTGCGGTGGCTAACACCTGTAATCTCAGCACTTTGGGAGGCCAAGGCAGTTGGATTGCTTGAGCTCAGGAGTTCAAGACCAGCCTGGGCAATGTGGCAAAACCCTGTCTCTACAACAACAACAGAAAATAGCTGGGCAAGGTGGCCTGTGCCTGTAGTTCCAGCTACTCAGGAGGCTGAGGTGGGAGGATCGCTTGAGGCCAAGAGATTGAGGCTGCAGTGAGCCTTGATCGCACCACTGCATTTCAGCCTGGGCCACAGAGTGAGACCCTGTCTCAAAAGAAAGAAAAGTTTTTTTTAAAATAAAAATAAAAAATATCTTAGAGCAAGTGCTGGACCCCCCTCAGCAACTGAAAGTGATTGACCCATTTTTCCTTCTTGCTTCTCTTACAGTAGCCATCCCTGCCATTGGGGCCCAGTATTCCATGTTTCCAGCAGCTCCAGCCCCTAAAATGATTGAAGATGGCAAAATCCACACAGTGGAACACATGATCAGCCCCATTGCTGTGCAGCCAGACCCAGCCAGTGCTGCTGCCGCCGCAGCTGCCGCAGCCGCAGCCGCAGCCGCCGTCATTCCCACCGTGTCGACGCCACCACCTTTCCAGGTAGAGTTCTGATTGCAGTCGTTGTTATTTGCGTGTGAAGCCTCTCTTTATCCTGGATTCATTTAGTATTCAGCACTGAGAATTTACTGTGTGCCTGGCTCTCTGTTACAGCTATGCGATTGGGTGACACAAAGCATTTTGAATTTGAATCATGACAGAAAAAAATAATTGTAATTAATTGTACTACCCTAATAATATCATTGTTAAGGGTGGGAATCAATATGTAAAAATGATGTGTAATTTTTCACAGTGTCATAATATTGTGCATATATGTTTTTTAAATAGCACTGAATAATTTTTAGCTCATGATGTTAAAGAGCTGACGCACAAAGTCCAGGGAACGATTTCGCATTTTCACATTTCACACTGAGGCTCCATGAAGATTTCTTTAAAAAATGTTAACCCAGTGGGTGGGTGTATGTGTGTGTGTGTGTGTGCGCGCGCGTGTGTGTGTAAAGAGAGAGAGAGAGAAAGAACATCTGTATAGATATGTAAAATTTTATGCTGGGTAGAGTGGCTCATGCCTGTAATCCCAGCACATAGGGAGGTCAAGATAGGAGGATCACTTGAGGCCAGGAGTTCAGGACCAGCTTGGGCAACATGGTGAGACAGTGTCTCTCCAAATATATATATTTTTTAAATTAGCCTGGCATGGTGGCATATGCCTGTAGTCCCAGCTACTGGAGAGGCTGAGGCAGGAGGACCGCTTGACCAGCCTTGAGGTCAAGGCTGTAGTGAGCTGTGATTGCACCGCTGCACTCCAACCTGGGCAACAGAATGAGACCCTGTCTCAAAAAAATTTTTACAAAATATGTCCATAATCCTCTCCTCCAACCATATCTCCCACTGTTCCCCTATCTGTTCCCAAACTCATCTTACCATGTTGGCCTCCTTCCCCACATTTGTTCATACTGTATCCTGGTTTCTTTATTCTCATCTCTTCCATAGAATCTTCCCCATCCACCTCCTAGAGAAATGTTCTCTCCTGTACTCCTCATTACTACATCATTACTTGGCCTGTGGCTGCCAATGTGTTCTATCTTCCAAGGAAAATGAAGCTCCTCTAAACCAAAGACTGTGTCTTGTTTCTTTGCATCTTCACCTCATGGGACATAGGGAGGACATCCATTTAACAGAAGAAAATCTTGTTAAAGCTGTTCTCTGTGAGGCAGTGAATCGCAAATACTAATCACAAGTACTCAGGCCCAAGATCCCTTACCCAGCTGAAAAAGAATTATCCAGGTCACTTCTTTTCATTTTTGATTTTTGATTTTTTTGAGACAGAGTCTCACTCTGTCACCCAGGCTGGAGTGCATGGCTCACTGCAACCTCAACCTCCCTGGTTAAAGCAATCCTCCCACCTCAGCCTCCCAAGAAGTTGGGACCACAGACGCACACCACCATGCCCGGCTAACTTTTTTATATGTAGGGACAAAGTCTTGCTATGTTGCCCAAACTGGTATTGAACTCCTGGGCTCAAGCAGTCCTCCCACCTCAACCTCCCAAAGTGTGGGATTACAGGCCTACATTTTTTAAAAAACAGAGATTGTTAGACTCTAATCCCTGAAGTTTCCAATTCAGTCAAACTGGGCTGGGGTCCTAGAACTGATATTTTGCACAGCTCCTCAATGATTCTGAGACAGAGCCAGGCCTCTGACCCTCCACAGTAGGATGCTGTTTACTTGCTTTTGCTCACTCTGAATGCTAGTCTTGACTGCGTTATTCAGAAAGGGCAGACTCACTGAAGCTTATTTGTCTTTCAGTCTGTCATTAAGTATTCTTTAACTTGGGATTTCTGAAAGACAAAAAGAGGAACTGGTTGTAAATGACACTGTAGAATAACAACTGAGTGTAGTTATAGTACTTGTGGACTGATGGCAAATATTTACAATAACTTAGCAGCAGTACTTAGTGAAATTTTGATAATAATTTCTAATTCTTCTTTACTAAGAAACTCATGAACATTTGTCTTTGATGTGCACTGTGAGTTCTGGTCAGGTCCAAATTCCAGGCACCATAATCATGTTCTGACTATTTCTGTCTCCTATCAGTCTGCACTGGCTGTTGCCATCGGGGTTCTTTTTTTTTTTTTTTTTTTTTGAGACGACATCTAACTCTGTCGCCCAGGCTGGAGTGTAGTGGCGCGATCTCGGCTCACTGCAACCTCCGCCTGCCAGGTTCAGACGATTCTCCAACCTTAGCCTCCCAAGTAGCTAGGACTACAGGCACGTGGCCACCACGCCTGGCTAATTTTTTGTATTTTTTTAGTGGAGACGGGGTTTCCACTTCATTGAGCCACAGTTTGAAAGGTGAAAATGTGAAATCGTTCCCTGGACTTTGTGCGTCAGCTCTTTAACAGGTTTCACCTGTTAGCCAGGATGGTCTTGATCTCCTGACTTCACGATACGCCCTCCTCAGCCTCCCAAAGTGCTGGGATTACAAGGCCATGAGCCACCACGCCCAGCCACCATCAAGGTTCTTATTTGCAGTCTTTGCTTATCCTCCCCTAGCTTTAATCAACCTCCCCTACGTTGTAGGCGCTCAGGGGTGTTCCTGTTTAGCCATTTAGTTAAAGCAAGGATAACCGCTCCTCCTTGACAAGAGGGAAGACTGCAGGGACTCTTCACCTGAATTAGAGGCACATTTTTGGGGGGTTTTTGTTTTGTTTTGTTTTGTTTTTTGTTTTTTTGAGACGGACTCTCACTTTGTCACCCAGGCTGGAGTGCAGTGGTGGGATCTCAGCTCACTGCAACTTCCGCCTCCAGGGTTCAAGCGATTCTCCTGCTAGGGGCACTTTTTAAAGATGGATAAATGTTTCTCCCACTACCACCATTGCATTTTTCTTTATTCCTGCTCTTTGATATGCTGTATTATTGCAATTCTATAGTGGTCCCCCCTTATCCATGGGGGATACATTCCAAAATCCCCAGTGGATGCCTGAAACACAGATATTACCAAACCGATAATATACTACGCACAATTTTTTTTCCTTCTTCACAGTTTCACAGATAGAAAATTTCTTTCTTACTGTAGATCTTAGCAACCTCAGCATAGGATTTTTGTCTTTCCTTATTAAGTAGAGAACTTTCCCTTTTTCGCTTAGAGGAAGGCCTTTAGTGCTCCTCGTTGGCATATCCAAAATGCCAGCATCTCTACTCTTGCATTTTGGGGCTGATGTTAACTAAAATAAGGGCTCCTTGACGGTCAGTCTGATAACCCAGATGGCTACTAAGTGACATGGGGATGGAGCACAGACAGTGTGGCTTTCCTGGACAAAGGGATGATTGGCGTCCCAGGCAGGACAGAGAGGGAAGGCATGAGATTTCATAGAGCTACTCAGAAGGGTGCACAATTTAAAACTTATGAATTGTTTATTTCTGAAATTTCAGCTTAATATTTTCAGACGTCAGTCAACCGCAGGTAACTGAAACCATGGAAAGCAAAACCAAGTGCTTCCCCATATATTCTCATTTTACAGATAAGAAAATTAAGGCCCAGCAAGGTGACAGAACTGCTAGCCAAGAGTAGAATTGGGATTAGGAGATCAGGTCCCTGATCTGTGTATGCTCTGTCCTGATAGTATGGTGAATGCCATATAAAAGGAACATCACACGAATGAAAAGAGAAGCCATGGGTTTGGGGACCTACTCTTGATTCCAGGCCATAAGCCAGTGCACATGTATGTGCAAAACTTAGTGTTTGAGTGGGCAGCCTGAACCCAGGTATTGGGCCAGCCTGTAGCACATGGCAAGGTCTCTCCCACATGTTGCCTTCCCTGCCATTTCCTCTCCCTTTTTGCACTGGTTATTAAACCTATATCCACACATGTGGAAAAGATGGCTTGTGCTGTGAACACAGTCTTTCCAGTTCCGGAGCTCCTCTCCCTGGTTGTAAAATGTCGCTGATGAGACACTCATTGTTTAGTGTTTAGGAAGCAAGTTAACATAAGGCTAAAAGTGCAGACTGCAGAGTCACACATTGCATTGCTTAAAAGCTGTGTCACTTTGTGCAGGTCATTTAACACTTCCACACAACTCCATATAATCATAGTACCAACTGTACTGGTGGCTGTGATGATTCAATACTGTCATACAAATAAGGCACTTAGAACAGTGCCTGGCAGACAGTAGTCTCTGAGTTTGGGGTTTGTTTTTGTTTTTGTTTTGTTTTGTTTTGTTTGAGACAAGGTCTCGCTTCCATTGCCCAGGCTGGAGTGCAGTGGTGCGATCTTGGCTCACTGCAACCTTGAATTCCCATGCTCAGGTGATCCTCATGCCTCAGCCTCTTGAGTAGCTAGAACTACAGGAGTATGCACCGCCATACCTGCCTAAGTTTTGTATCTTTTGCAGAAACTCCTGGCCTCAGCATCCCAAAGTACTGGGATTACAGGCATGAGCCATCTCACCCAGCCTCTGAGTTAATTGTTATAATTATCATTATCATTATAAATTAAAATTATTATAAATTATAATTACTATCTGATTATAGTTTTTAAAAGTACTCTTAGGCTAGAAGTTCCTTTGAGCACAATTTTGGAACTCTGATTTGCAAATTTTGTAACAGAAATTAGAACTAATTCCTTTATAAAAATCTGAGAAGAAATAATTACTTTAATTCACCATTTCATAGATGCTGAATTGTTTATTTTGAAGATGTATTAAGATATAGGGAGATCATACCAGCATTTACTACAAGGCATTCTGTGGCTCATGAGGTGCACCAAATATTTTGTTAAATGAATGTTTTATTTTATCCAAAATCTCTTTTCAATGAAGCATCTCTCAGAACTAGTTTGATGGCAAACACTTTGGGAAATACTGAACCACAGTCTTCCCATTCGTACTCCTGTTTATTCTGAAAACATCTTATGTTGCATTTTCAAGTAGACAGAAGGAAGTAGCAGGGGCTTTTCTAGAGCCAGTGGTGGCCGTCGACATTTCAGGCAACTTTACTTAGCTTGTCCTTCCCCACTCCTTCCTCATTTGGAAACTGCTCCTTATCCTTCAAAACCCAGCTCAAATATCCCTGCTGCAGAGACATTTTCTCCAACTTCCCCATTAGTTGGTTCTTTCTGTAAGCTTCTACAACAATTTGTATACATTAATGGTGTCATCTCTTAGGTGGGAGATGATGGAAACCATCACATTGACTGAAAATGATGTATGGTCACAATTTTTTAAGGTCACAGCTTAAGAAACTGTCCCTTTGGAGATCAGTATATTTTGTTTCTCTAAGTTGACACAGTCTGCTCCTCTCTCTGTCTTTGAGACAGATCATATTCCATCAGTTAAGTATGAGTTGAGGCTGCTGGCATGTATCTAGAGACCATATTTAAGGAAAAATACTGATTTTTAATTACTGTGAAATCAACTGTGTGGAGGGTAGATTCTCCACTGCCTTCTCTAGCTCACTCTGGGGCATAGACTGATTGAGTAGAATAGTAAGTAGAAGATTCTAGAATACGTACAGAGAAGGTCCTCCTTATCCACAGGTTCTGCGTCTGGATTCAATTCTTTATTGAAAAAATAAAGACAATAAAAAATAACAGTACAACAATAAAAAACAATACAAATGTCAAAATACAATATAACAAATATTTACATAACATTTGCATCATATTAGGTATTTAAGTGATCTCGAGATTATTTTTAAAGTATATGAGAGAGGCCAGACGTTGTGGCTCATGCTCGTAATCCCACTACTTTGGGATGCTGAGACAGGAGGATTGCTTCAGGCCAGGAGTTCAAGACCAGCCCTGGGCAACATAGTGAGACCTTGTCTCTATGAAAAAAAAAATTTTTTTATAGTATACAGAAGGATATGCGTAGGTTAAATGCAAATATGCCATTTTCTCTCAGGGACTTGAGCATCTGAGGATTTTGGTATCCATGGAAGTCCTAGAGCCAATCCCCTGTGAGGATACTGAGGGGCAACAGTATTTCATCTTTCCCTCAGCCTTCCAGGCCTCTCACTTTCACAAGGTTGCATCACTGAGTTTGAGGATGCAGCTCCACCTTACCTCTTCAGTGGCTCTTATCCCACTTCCTTACAATAATTGCTATTTGCCCGCCCCTCTGCCTTCCTCTCCCTTGCTTTTATGTCTTTGTATTCCCAACTTCTGGGAGAGGCTTGTTGAATGAATTGATGATAGGCACATACACCTGTTCAGGAAGGCTCCTTTTTGTCTCTTCTCCTCAGGGCCGCCCAATAACTCCAGTATACACGGTGGCTCCAAATGTTCAGAGAATTCCCACTGCCGGAATCTACGGGGCCAGTTACGTGCCATTTGCTGCTCCGGCCACAGCCACAATCGCCACACTACAGAAGAACGCGGCCGCCGCGGCCGCCGTGTATGGAGGATACGCAGGCTACATACCTCAGGCCTTCCCTGCTGCTGCCATTCAGGTCCCCATCCCTGACGTCTACCAGACATACTGAGGCTGGTGACCAGCGCGAAGACAAACCACACGAACACCACTGAAGGAACGCTTGACTATTTATGAAGAAGGAACCTGTTGAATTCGCACATGCAATCTGAAAGTGAAGAATGTTCGCAGATTTATTTCTGAAATATTTTATATACATGAAGTTTTCACTCGTTTTTTAAGACTATTTTCAACTTAGCAGGCCTGCGTTTATACATTTCCAAAAGACTTGTAATGGTTCGTGCCTTCATACCATCTTTTAAAAATTTGTATGCTGTACTACATTTGTATAGAGGTTTTTGTTGTTGTTTTTTTTTTAAGGATATATTTTCAGTATGAAGGTTATTTTCTTAACTTCTGCACTCCAGAGATTTCTATTTTGTAGTACCTTCAATAATATATCAACTATATATTAAAAAAAGCACACTTGAGCAGCTAGGGAACTATTTTGAAAAATATATACAATATTTAAAGATACAAACAGTAGTGCTTAAAAATACTACATAAAACATTATTTTAAAGGTTATACTGGAAAGTGCAATTTTAAAATGAGTAAAATCTTTGTATTTCTGCTGGCATTAAGGGTTGATGGTGTTACCATGTATCATCATGGCGGTACTATTTTTTAAAAGAAACACTGATTCTCTCCTTAAGCCAACATTGAAAAGACTTGCCACACTTCTGAGTCCAAACACTGGAAAGCTCTCCTTTGCCACCGTTAGCTGGGCTCATTCTCCATGTGCCTTAACCTTACACATGCCCCCACTACCCCATCTCTCACCCTGTCCCCTCCTCCCCAAATTCCCAGTCCCTCCACAATGTTTGGCCAGCCTAGGACTGATGAATAGCTCTGAAAGAGGGAGGAGCTGGTGGCTTTTATACTTCTTCCTGGGTTTTTGTTGGGGTTTGTTGTTTCGTTGTATGTTTTTTGTTTTGTTTTGTTTTGGTTGGGGAAGTATTATCTTCTATGTGTGCTATTTTCAGCAGCAGAGTAAGTACAAGGTTTTAATCGAGCTGCATTAGACACCTTTGCCTAGCTATTTAATTGCCCAATATAAAACTTTAATGCCATTTCTAATGCTTTTATTCATTTTTGAAGTATGAGTTTGTAGGGACAAAGAATGTATGTTATCATAGACAAGACCCCCAGAGACTCTTGTCAGCAGAAAGTTATGCTTCTAGTTGCCTTACCATGTTTCATGCAAAACTGTCCGTGGTCCTCAAGGGTGTTGGAAACATTTTGTTTATTAAATCTCTCTTCCCTTGCTGTGCACTTGATGGGTGAACTGAATTGGGGTGTGCACATCCAGGAGGAGGAGGAGAGACCTGTAGAAGTTTAAAGATAGTTTGTAAATATCTTCTAATGCTTGTTTTTAGTCCTTTTATGTTGCAGAAGTTCATGGTATGTAGTTTAATGCAAAATGAAACCATTTTATTTCAATGTTATTAAAAAGGTTTGTTTTATTAGGAAGTTAATGTATTGTTGCAGTGTTTTGTGCCTGTTTAAAGGCTTTTGTTTAGCAGAGTGAATGTAAAATACAGTAAAATGTTAAGATTGTCATCTACTTTAAAAATATGTATATCAACTTGGAATTGTTTTTTAAAGGCTCAATCAAGGAAGTGAGGTGTGCAATAAGGTAGCAAGTACACAGTTGCGTTTTTATGTCATATTAGAGATCCATACAATCTTTCCACCATGGGATTTTTGTTGATGGCTGAATTCTTGTGGATTCATAAGAGGATCATGCCCTTAGCAAGTACTTTTGTTTTGTTTTAAATTAAGAGATTCCCAAATGCCTTTTCCCCCCTCATCTTGAGACGAGATGAGTTTTTATGTGTAAGCAATATTTATTTAACTATTCTATAAAATTATTGAGTGCCTCCTGAGGCCTTTAAGCACCCCTAACATTCCTTTCCATCATTCTTTTAAATGACATAAAGTAATTGTGCAATGTTCCTGATGATGTACCCCGCAAGCTGCATTGAAACTCAAATCTCTTGGAATGAGTGACTCAGCAAAATGTAATTTGAATCAGATCCTCATCCCTTGACTATGTGAAAAAAGTACTCTCCTTCTAGTGAAGGATTGTCACAGAGTTTCACTGGATGAAACCGTGACCCAGTGTTCTTACTGTATTTTACGTATGCCTGTAAATTATTTGTGAAGAAGAAGAAGAAGAGGAGGAGGAGGAGGAAGAGGAAGAGGAGGAAGGGGAAGAGAAAGGAAGGAAGGAAGGAAGGAAGGAAGGAAGGAAGGAAGGAAAGAAGGAAAGAAGGAAAGAAGGAAGGAAAGAAAAGAAAAAAAACAATGATACCTTAACATGGCAACCACCAAACTCCCTTAAAAACAAACGTTGGTGACATAGCTAGTTAAGTATCAGTGAGCCTCCAATCTGGGACTTACCTGTTCCTATTGTTTCAAAACCATTTCACGTACACTACTGAGATAAGTTTATAACTTGAAATGTGAACTTTTTTTTTTTTTAGTGTTAAGAACAAACTATATAAATGTAAAAAAAAAGTTTTAGAGTTCTGTTTTCAAACATTGCTAGTGGTTTAGTTAACTTTAGCTGCTTTATATTTGAAAAGCTTTTATTTAGATCTTGCTCCATTTACAGTACATTCTTAGGATGTATGTAGTAAATAAAGCTTTCTTTAAAGCAATTGCAAGACCTTATTTTAAATTGTGTTTTCTTTATACTGATTTATTTTTTCTAAAATAATTAGGAAAACCCTTATAGCATAGAAAGGATTGGCTAATTCAATATTTTCCATTGGAGAAATCAGCAAGTTACGGTCATGTGTTTGTCTTGGGACTACCATTGGAGATGGATTACATTGGCCAGGTGTGGTGGCTCACTCCTGTAATCCCAGCACTTTGGGAGGCCAAGGTGGACAGATCACCTGAGGTCAGGAGTTCGAGACCTGTCTGGCCAACAGGTGAAATCCCGTCTCTACTAAAAATACAAAAAAAAAATTAGCCAGGCGTAGTGGTGGGTGCCTGTAGTCCCAGCTATGCAGGAGGCTGAGGTAGGAGAATCGCTTGAACCCAGGAGGTGGAGGTTGCAGTGAGTTGAGATCGTGCCTTTGCACTCCAGCCGGGACAACAAGAGCAAAACTCCGTCTAAAAAAAAAGAAAAAGAAAAAATGTGTTACATAGCTGAATCGTGAATTATGAGTATCCTCAAATTTTGGCTAAGGAGGTAGGAGATTGAACACTCAAATAATATTCAAATCTGCATTGGAATAGGATGTGACAAAGCCTGTCACCACGCTCAGTGCCAAAGTTTATTTATAATCCCAACGGCTTTACACACAGAATTTTAAATGGAGAGAGTTGATGGACATTGAGTTTTTTGATGATCTCATGAAAGTGCTGGGATGACCTTGATGTTGGTCATTGCATTTGAAACTAAAACCTTCTTGTTTCTCCTTTTCACAGTGCATAGTGAGGTTAACAGGGCACTTTGCTTTTCTCTAGAGATCATCACTAACTTCAGAGAGTATCTATCATCAAAGTCAATAAGATGACAGGAGGGAAGGTGGTGGATTGTCAATAGAATAAAGTTCCACTTGGATTTGCCAGTGATTAAGAATTTTACCTTCTTAGCTTTGAACCTGGACTATGACCTCCCAACCTGCATTTCTTGAAATTCTAACCTTCTGCTTCTTCTTAAATGGATAAAGGCCTTTTTAGAGGCAGAACAGACCAGTATGTTGGGCAGAACATCCCAAGATGATAGCTTATTAGGCAGTATTTTTAGGGGCAACAAGATCTACTGATCTTCTTGTCCTAGGAAATAAGTACAAAAGCTCTTCAAGTTACAGGATCACATTCAGGCTAGATTGATCTCTTTAGAAAAAGAATTAACAATCAAAATGAGGCCAATAGCATATCAAATGAGGTTAATGACTATGATCATGTGATTCACTGGGTTCTTAGGCTTCCATAACCTCAGGTGGAGCTCACAAGAACTCAGTGAAATAGGCAGGACGGATATAGATATGTGATCACACAGCTGGTAACAGGACTCAAATCTACACTCAAGGCCAAGCGCAGTGGCTGCCGCCTGTAATCCCAGCATTTTAGGAGGCCAAGGCAGGTGGATCACTTGAGGTCAGGAGTTCGACATGGTGAAACCCCATCTCTACTAAAAATATAAAAATTAGCCGGGCATGGTGGTGGCACCTGTAGTCCCAGCTACTCAGGAGGCTGAGGCAGGAGAATCAGTTGAACCCAGGAGGGCAGGAGTTGCAATGAGCCGAGATCATGCCACTGCACTCCAGCCTGGTTAACAGAGTGAGACCTTGTCATTAAAAAAAAAAAAAAGTCTATGCGCTCAAGACTCTGTCCCAGGTTCTAAATGCCCCATTTTTTCAATTCCAAAAATGTCTGTCATGACAACATACAAAGCACTTCATTGAAGAGTTAGAAAACGTCTTCTGATTTTTCTTGTGTATTCAATTTTATATGATTTCTTTATTATAAAGCCTTCTGGGCACTAAGGCTTTGTATTTGAGTTTTTTGTTTTGCTTTGTTTGGATTTGATTTTTTTTTTTTTTTTTTTTTTTGAGATGGAGTCTGGCTCTGTCACCCAGATTGGAGTGCAGTGGCGCGGTCTCGGCTCACTGCAAGCTCCACCTCCCAGGTTCACGCCATTCTTCTACCTCAGCCTCCCAAGTAGCTGGGACTACAAGCACCCGCTGCCACGCCTGGCTAACTTTTTGTATTTTTAGTAGAGACGGGGTTTCACCGTGTTAGCCAGGATGGTCTCAATCTCCTGACCTCGTGATCCGCCCACCTTAGCCTCCCAAAGTGCTGGGATTACAGGCGTGAGCCACCATGCCGGGCCTTGGATTTGATTTTTTAAGTCATAGGAATTGACATTTTGGCATGGCTGTTTTGATGAAATAACGTTTTGACACCATGACCCTAAAAACAAAATCCATCTTCAGCTTTTTACGAAACTACTAAGTAGGATGACACAGATGTTCTCACTTTATCCTACCTTTTCCTTGACACATTCACCATTTCTGAACCCCCAAGGTCAAAGGGAGGATTAGGTTTAAATATAGAAAGAGACTCAGGAGACATCCACGAAATGTTTTACTTCAATTCCAAGGTCTAAGCTACTGGACTGGATACAGCCTTTTCTCCTGTCTCCTCTTTTCACTTATTAGTACCCAGCATTCCTGTTTCTAACTCTTCATGCCAATAAACTTGGGGGACAAATGTGATTACCCAAATGATTACCTCTATGAGCAAGTGCCATGGCCTACTAAAATAGGCTGGGTTTGTGGTCAGAACGCCTAGGGGAGAAACCAAGCTTTGCTACTTGCAAGTCATGAGACTTTGAAAAAGATGCCTTTCCTCTCTGAGCACCAGTTTCTTAACTGGTAAAATAGGGATAATAATCCTGACCTCATAAGGTTGTTATAAAAATGAGATTAGTTGGCTGGGTGCGGTGGCTCATGCCTGTAATCTTAGAACTTTGGGAGGCTGAGGCTGATGGATCACTTGAGGTCAGGAGTTCAAAACCAGCTTGGCCATCATGATGAAACCCCGTCTCTACTAAAAATACAAAAAATTAGCTGGGTATGGTGGTGTGTGCCTGTGATCCCTGCTACTCGGGAGGCTGAGGCAGGAGAATCACTTGAACCTGGAGGCAGAGGTTGCCGTGAGCCAAGATGGTGCCACCGCACTCCAGCCTGGGTGACAGAGCGAGACTCCATCTCAGGAAAAAAAAAAAAAAAAAAAGAGAAGAGTTAATCTAAAAAAGCCTAGTACATTGTTGGCACTCTTATAGACAGTTATTTCCTTTCCCATCTCCTTTTTAAACTCTAGTGCGACTGCATTCCTCTTTGTTAATTCTATCAAGCCTTTCCATTTTAAATCCTTTTATTATTTTTTTAACTCTTTCATTCACTGAAATTTTTTATTCTTTTATTCACCTGTTTATTCCATAAACATTCATTGCTGGAGTGCCAACTATGCAGGATTCACCAGAGAAATAAGTCAAAGTTGACCTTCTGCCTTCTGCAAACTCCCAGGCATGATAAGACTGTTTTATGGGAAGGGGACACACCCAGGCTCGAGCCAGAGACCTACAAGATGAATAGGAGTTAGGCAGATGAGTAGGGGGAAAAGGGAGTAGGAAATGCCTGGACCGGGAGGAAAGAACACGGTATCATCAAGTCCACGAAAGCAGTTCAGGGTGGCTGCCTTAAAGGAGAAGGAGAAAGTGTGAAGAAATCCAACCTTTGCACTGTTTAACATTAAATATTGTTCATGGCCCTGCATTAGCTGTGAAAGGAAGAGATTTGGTCCCTATGACAAGGAAGCTGGGGGAGCCAGTAATCACGTAGAAACAACCGTCAATCATCATTCCTCCTTAGGGCTTTCAGGAAATGATGGAGCCCTGCATTTATCTACACTGCTAAAGCTAGAGCTGCCCGTAGTGAAAAACTCCCTTCCTGCTGCCTTCCTGGTCCCAGGGGGGATGCCTGCCATCTCTGAGCTTGTCCAGCAGTTTGTAGCAGCAATCAAAGCTTTTAGGGCTGCCCACCTGTTTCTTGTGCAGGTCCAGGTTCCAACCTCTGGGACCTTCACCCTTTCCTCTCCAGTCATACAGCAGCTGCTTGTGGGTTTCCCCACTGTCCCTACGTAAACCCCCCACAGGACAGGAATGCAGGCTTCTCAGCAAAGGTGATGGAGGCCTATAGTCCTCCAGATGACTGAGGGTGGATGATGTGGTTTGGCTGTGTCCCTACCCAAGTCTTATCTTAAATTGTAGCTCCCATAATCCCCATGTGTTGTGGGAGGGACCCGGTGGGAGGTAATTGAATCTCAGGGGCAGGTTTTTCCTATGCTGTTCTCATGATAGTAAGTCTCACGAGATCTGATGGTTTTATAAAGGGCAGTTCCCCTGCACACGCTGCCATGTAAGATGTGCCTTTGCTCCTCCTTCACCTTCCACCATGATTGTGAGGCCTCCCTGGCCATGTGGAGCTGTGAGTCCATTGAATCTCTTTCCTTTATAAATTACCCAATCACAGGTATGTCTCTATTAGTAGCATGAGAATGGACTAATACAGTGGAGGAGAGTCCCAAGTAAAATCTTTAGAGACACATTGACTTCCCCAACAGGATCATATTTCCATGAAACTCCATTCTGCACAGTTACCAGAAACAAAAGCAACACTAAACCCTGCATATGCAAGAAATATGACCTTTGCTAGGCTAATTTTTAGCCACCCTTCCTTCTTGGCTTGTTCTACTTTGTTTGTCAAAAATCTTCATTAATGATTAACCAACCATGACATTTAAATAACCTTAGTCATTCTGAGGCAGCTAAGAGATGTCACTGAAGCCCAGTTGTTTCTGAGATGACCTTGTTGGGGGTGTGCTGGGTCAAAACATTTGTGCTTCATGGTATTGTGATAACACTGGGCCATGCCAGTCTGGTTTTGCTGGGATTTTTCCTCTCCTTTTTCAGGACCTTTATTCCAAACTGGTAGCACCATGAGATAGTTTTATTTCCATCGACCTCAACAGCCTCACACCTCTAACCCAACTCAAATATGGCCATTTGACCCTTTCTCAATCTTATGTAGAGTAAAGCTTTCTAAAGCTATATCTTCCCTGATCTTCATGACAATCCTATAAGATAGTTACAG